GCTAGATACAGAATACTTAAATTAATTTTATAAAATAAAAATGTTGCATCGCGGTAAACGCGCATTGACGTCAATCGGGGTGCTGTGTCAGCGGCGGTGATCACGTTGCGTCCGGTGGCGGCACGCGTGAGCGGTGTCAGCAGGTGCTGTGTCGAGGTCATCGCTTATTGCAAATTACTAGTGGGAGCTTGATATAACAAGTGTAATAGCACTGTATAAAAACAAGTAAAGGTAACGCTGTTTAAAGTATATTTGGAGCCTGTGGATTGACCATTTGCGTAGGGCTTATAGACCTGTAAGTGCAGTAGCAGAACAACAATGCGTTTAGGGCGGCGATAAGTTAGGTTTATTTAACAAAAGTTTATAAACTTTTTTTTACTAACAACATTGTGAATAAAATCGAAACATAGATATATTATTATAAAAATTTACTTATATTCGTTTAAATTTATTATTAGGTAAAACTCCCCGTAAAAGAAAGCGAATGGCAGAACTAAAGAAGAAAAAGTGTAGTATTGCTTCTTTAAAGAACTGGCCAAGTGCGAGTTGGACTCGCGCATGAATAGTTAGTTCCGTGCCATCGTAATACACGTTTGTAGTAGGACAGCACCTTTGATTTTTAATTTATTTTTATTCTATTATATTTTATTATAGCGGCAACAGAAATACACATTTTGTGAAAATTTCAACCGACTACCTATTACGGATCATGAGATACAGTCTGCTGACAGACAGACGGACGGACGGACAGCGGAGGCTTAGTAATAGGGTCCCGTTAGTTACCCGTTGGTACGGATCCTTAAAAAGAGTGCAATTTTATTGTTTTTTTTTTTTTTATTTATAGAACATTAGGAATACTTTTAATAAAACTATTTTTACGGATTTTATCGCGTTTAATATATTTATTTTAATTCCCGACGTTTCGAGTGCTTTACAGCACCTATGGTCACGGGGGGGCTGAGGTGTTTGACGTCCCGATGTCATACCCCTGCTACCTTCAGTTTTTGAATATTAATTTTTTGTTCCGATCAGATCAGAATGAGCTTAAAGTATCGTGAATTGATGACTCGCCTATTGTGCCATCAGTCATGTGTAAAAATAATTATCTTTTTTAAGCTTTTTTTCACTTGTTTAGACCTAATTAAGTTTAGTTGACATCAAACATCAGTTACGAACCGAAGGATACTTGTTTTTAGTGCGTAACTACGTGTTTTTCTACGTGTCTTCTTTGAAATTGAGATTAAGTGACTTTTTTTCTGGAAAACCTTGGTTTTTATTAAATTAAATTTTCACCTAAGAATAATATTTGTAAATATCAAACAATCAAGAACCTTAATTTAGAAAAAAATAAGGTTTATGATTCATTAATATTTACAAATGTTAAATATTATTTAATGTTATACAAAATTACAAGTAAAGTCGATTTAAAAACGTCTAATTAGTTAGAATAGCAAAACAAGTGTTTTAAAAAGGAAACAAATGCCGGCGTTATACGACTGACAAAAGACTATTTATTAGCGAACTTTTTTAAGCATGAATGGTTTCAAACTGTTTCAAGCAAAAATAAAGCTTATACCATATCACTAGAGCACATGGTACTTCGTAGGTCTATTCGGCCATATGATAGTAATAAGACGGCAGTTCAACCATTTTAAGCAAAATTAAACAATAAGACAAACGCATTGTTTTTCTTTTTAACAGGAGACTTGTTTTCCAGAAATTTATTTACAACTTGAGTTTGTGAGCGATCTCAATGAGTGCTATTATTTGTTACTTATTAGACTATTTTTCTACAATATGATTGAAAACCCACAAAGTAAAAAGAGTACCATGTACACGTTAAGAAAAGGTTGTCAACCCCTAAAAATTTCAAATTTTCAAAATATCCAGAAATGAAGCCGCAGGCATGAACTACTTACAAAATAATGAATATTTTGCTCTGAATAAATTTGATCTCTCTCGATTTGATTTGCTCTGAAAAAACGCAATTTAAGCGAGTTATAACGATTTTTAAAAAGAGACGACTTTTAAGAAGTAATCGATGGCACGCCTGTCGTGCCATCCGCACTGAACCGGTTAATTTAAACAAAACACCGTTCGAGAAATTGTTGTTTCAAGATAATTTTAAGATTTCGTCCTGCCGATGATGAGCTTTATAGTTATTCGGGATTTTAATTCACCGAGGCATTGAACTGTCGCAATCATAATTTGTCCTTTTCACGTACTGTCGAGTTAACGTTTAAAAAGCAAGTGCATTTGGATTCTAGTAGACTTGCAGCTTAGGATGTTAAAGAATGGGATTTTCTGATTTGGTCAAGGCAGTGCCATGTTGATGTTCAAAGTTATCCATTCTTTTTAGAAGTGTAGCATCTATTATAATTTGACTTTCAGAACTATCGATAAGATTAGTCATTTTATGTAAGTGGAATACCGTAACGTGAAAATAGCTTTTAGATACAAGGGTGACACTGAAAGTTCTTAGAAAATCAAAAACTGAACAAACTAGCAAGTTATTAGTTTTAATATATCTTTTCAAAATAGTGTCCGTTTACATCAATACATCGCTGTATCCGATGGAACCACTGAGAATAACACTTTGCCCACTCGTCTTTAGGTATCTCTTCGACGGCATTTTGAAACGAAGCCACTGCTTCCTTGGCGTCCATAAAACGTTTTTCTCGAAGTTTTTCTTTTATTTACGTAAATAAATAAAAATCGCAAGGTGCGAGGTCGGGACTATAGGGCGGGTGACCCAGTAATTCCACATTTAACGTCGCCAAGTAGTCGATTGTATGCTTGGCGATGTGCGACGAGGCGTTGCCGTGGTGAATAAGGATCCTACTGCGAGGTCGTTTCTCCCGAACTTTTTCTAAGACAAGTGGCAAACAATTGTTTGTGTACCACTCTGCAGTAACTGTTTTTCGATCCTCTAAAACAATTGCTGCATAATGACCTATCCTTCCGAAGAACAGGACCGCCATCTTTTATCCCACGCTTCGACCTCTCTTCACTTTAGTTGGCAACTCCTCGGAAGGAAACACCCAGACAGCAGACTCTCCCTTAGTTTCAGGATCATAACAATAAATCCAGCTTTCGTCACTCGTAAGTATGTCGAACACAGCATTTGAGTCACCACCGTTAAATATTTGAACCATTTCACGAAACCAATCGACGTCGAAACAGACGGAGTTTTTGGGGCTCTGTAAAATTATGAAGTATTCACTGGGCAAAAAGCTTCCTGGCTGCTAAATGTTCATGGAGGATTTTGTACACTTTACTCATACCGATGCCTAAGATTGTCCGAATCTGCTAATAAGTCACTCTTTTGTCAGTCTCTATCATACGCCACACAACACTGATGTTATCTTCAGTCGTCGTCGTAGAAGGCCGTCCCTCACGCAGATTATCGGTGAGATTAGTGCGACCACGTTTAAACTCAAACCAGTTGTAAACAGTGGCACGAGTTTGGGCTTCAACGTGAAAGTCCAATCGAAGTAAGTCATAACTTTCTTGTTAACTTATATGACATCGAAAGTTATAAAAAATCATTGTACGAAAATTATCTCGCGTTAAATTCATGCTGACGTGACACAGCCAATTTTTGCCAAATCGTAAGCAAATGGCAAATTAATAAAATACATACACAATAATAATGGCAAAGAGTTCCATTTTAAAAATTTTTACTTATTTTTTTATTATATCGTTTACAAGCCAGTTCTAAAAACTATTAGTGTCGCCCTCGTATTGTATTAACCAAGTCGCCGGCAGGTATGTTCACTATTTTATTACTTTGACATTAAATGTTTATACACACAATATGAAATGAAATAGGCAATAATATTAAGACTAAACTTAAAATTATGCTAGAAAAATACTTTTTACACTAAATACAACAAATTCAATCACAGAAACAAGTGTTAACTTTTTGAGCACCTACCCGCGATTCATATGTCACAAAATTTAATTTATTAATTTAATTTAATTTAGTAAATGATTTCAAACTAACTTTTCGATGAGTTAGGGATTAGATATTTCGAACATAGTTTAGAATCGGTAGACTGTTAGAATATAATAATGCGTGATATATTTAAAAAAATCACAAAAAATTTTCTAGTTATTATTTTATATCGATATAATGTTCCACTATAATAAATACCCTAATCTTTAATCGATAAATTATGAACGTCTTTATGTAAGTACCACACCATGGAACTTCTATGTCAAGGTTATATTAATTTTTGTTTGGTATTAAAATTAAACCTCGATTCATACTAATTTAATTTTCAGACAAATGTATGGAGTTTGGTCTATTGACATTCTCTTTGGATAGAATGTTTCTCAATATGTTTTCATATTGGCGGTATTTTTTCTTCAAACCAGAACACAGTAATAGAGGCATTGCTGCAATACAAGTCAAGGGGTTGGCCTTCCGAGAGGAAAAAGGAGTCTATTCGTCCTAAGCTGCTTATACTCGTAATTAACGTGATATTGATATACTAGTAGAGAGACCGTGGGAGATCGACCTTCACTGACAACCAGATGAGGCCTATTATTTATGAAACTTTATTGATTACTAAACACGCCTATGATGCTATTTTTATGTGGCTATTTTATATATATATGGCTATTTTTAATTAAATTAATTTTAATCATTTTCCTTTCATTTCACTCTTTTGATAACCGAACAAATTTAGTTTAAACAGATAGTTTTTTAGTATGGAGAATATGCCTTGGTAGGATGTGTAGTATATGACTTACCTGTTCATACCTGGCAAGCAGGTATGAACAGGTAAGTCAATATACTACACATGTTAACCAATCAAAATTGATATCAGAAGAAAGATAATTTAATTACAAAAATAATCGCATAGGCTTGCCTACAAAAACCGTTCATGGAATATTATTGCGATGCTTTAAAGTTTTAAAATCGGAGCAATTAAATATGTGCGACATAGACAGTAGAGCGTCCGAAGTCCGTGTGATTTTTTTTTTTTTTTATAGGAGAAGGGGCAAACGAGCATGCGGCTCACCTGATGGTAAGTGACTACCGCCGCCCATGAACAACCGCAACACCAGGGGAATTGCAGATGCGTTGCCGGCCTTTTAAAAAGGAGTAGGCTCTTTTCTTGAAGGTCCCTAAGTCGTATCGGTCCGGAAAAATCCCTGGTGGTAAACTATTCCACAAGGAAGTTGTGCGAGGAAGAAAACATCTTCTAAATCGCACAGTGGTGGACCGCCAATCATCCAGATGGTGTGGATGGTATCGGGAGTTCTGCCGCGATGTGCGTTCGTGAAATTTGGCGGCTGGGATTAATCCGAACAATTCCTCAGAGCACTCCCCATGGTAGATGCGAAAGAAAATGCAAAGAGATGCAACATCTCTTCGCAGTGCCAATGAATCGAGCCGATCGGAAAGGGCTCGGTCGTCGACGATTCGAGCCGCTCTGCGCTGGATGCGGTCAAGTGGAAGGAGCTGGCACTGGGGAGCCCCTGCCCAGAGATGGGAACAGTATTCCATGTGAGGCCGAACCTGCGCCTTGTAAAGTTGCAGGCGGTGTGCCGGCATGAAATACTGTCCCGCTCTGCTGAGCACGCCAAGCTTTTTAGAGGCCAATTTGGCCTTCTCTTCCAAGTGACCACGAAACTGCACGTCACTCGATATGTCGACTCCGAGGATACCGATACTGGCTGAGGCAAGAAGGGGAGTGCCTTGAAACTGAGGAGATACGACAAAGGGGTTCTTTTTAGCGGTAAACGCGCAAACTTGTGTCTTCTGAGGATTAAACTGGACTAGATTTAGTCGCCCCCAATCCGAGACTTTGTCCAGCAAAGACTCGACTTCAGACACAAGTTTGTACCGGTACTCGGCGACGTTTTCCCGAGAAATATTGGCCCGGCCGGTGTATAGAGCATCACCAGTGCTGTCATCCGCATAGCAATGAATGTTACCAGTTAGCAACATATCATTGATATGCAGAAGAAACAGCGTTGGTGATAGCACACAGCCTTGTGGAACACCAGCGTTAATAGGCTTGTAGTCAGAACATGCACCGTCTACAACGACCTTGATGCTCCGATCTGCAAGAAAGCTGGTGATCCAATTGCACAATTTCTCGGGAAGCCCATAGGAAGGCAGCTTTGAAAGAAGCGCTTTGTGCCAAACCCGATCAAAGGCCTTCGCAATGTCCAGACTAACGGCCAACGCCTCCCCCTTGGACTCTACTGCCTCCGCCCATCTATGGGTCAGGTAGACCAGAAGATCACCAGCTGATCGACACCGACGAAAACCGTATTGGCGGTCACTAATCAGCTATAGAATCTCTGATAGAACAGAGATTCTATAGCTGATTCAGAATGATTCAGAATCAGTGATAGAACAGGACACAACATAGCAACTAATAAAACAAAAAAAATATTTTTTAACTATTCAAAACTGTTGTTACTACTATCAAGCGCACGTATTGAGTTTGCTCTATTAACATTCTCTTTGGATAGAATGTTTCTCAACATGTTTTCATATTGGCGGTATTTACTCTTCAAACCAGAATACAGTAATAGATGCATTGCTGCAATACAAGGCAAGGGGTCGCCTATAATCAAAGTGATAACGATATGGCGTGGTTTATTAATTTTAAACGACTTACAGTAAATCCCCGACCGCACATATAGCAAATTTTATTTCTTGGCGGCATAATGCCTTCATGAACTCGGCGATTGTGTTTAGTCAAATCGGCGTTTCGAATGAAATTCTGCAACAAAAATACTATAAACTAAAATATCCTAGAACTGTAATGACACTATAATCAAAGACTATAATATATTTATTCACTTTATCATTAAGTAGGATTTCTGGTCCCATGTTTGCTTATTTGTGTGACAATGTAGATATTTCATGCGTAAGAGAAACAATAAACCCATTTCATTCAATAGGTGTCATTTGTGGCGAACGTTGGTAATACATAAAAGACCTCATGGCTTTCGATAAATGGCAGTACGATATATATGCTAAGAGAGAAATTCGACTGTAGTAGCACTGTTTTCGGGACACCTGATATTTTAATTGAAATGAAAAGTTTTACGGACAGTATATGCATCATTGTTGGAGCCACACACAAATGTGACTAACAATCCAAAAGCAAGTCTCATCTGTCACTATTCCAATGATATCCCAGACGTCTGTCTGAGCGAGATTAGAATTGCTTTCCAGCCAGCACCTTAAAAACAGCAAGGCCAAAATTGATAAAGTGTAAGGCAGCCTCCACTAGACTGGAGGCACTGGACTGGCGCCCTTTATAGATGCAAGTGGCACAGTGTACAGTGTAGTACATTTTTATGGACCATGTTTTGACCAGTTTTATGGATATGTACAGGAGTGCCCTATGTTCAGCAGTGGACTTGTGAAGGGCTGTAATGATGATAATGAGGCAATCTACATGGGAGGCCTATGTTCAGCAGTGGATTTTTAATAGGCTCTAATGAATGAATAAATTTTAAATACCATATACATTTGCTCATTATTTTTTTAAGGTTTTAAGTTTTTGAAAGACCATATAAGACTGTACATACACAGCTTACATTTAGACGCTATCGATTATGGTGGTGGATATTTTTATGTCTCCATGAAATAGTAAACAATAAATCAACACCTAAAACTATACCTTGTTGCACTCCTCACACCGATATTTGTAATTCTTTAAATGAACTAAATTGTAATGATCCTTCATATATATATTCTTCGAAAATACTTTGTCACATTCTGGACACGGAATTCTGTAAGCAAACATAATTTCATTATAATTTAGAATATCATCTGGTATACTAAACTATTATACTATAGTTACTGCAGCAGGACTTCGATAGTCCGAAAACCATCTAGTCCGAATCCGTACCTGCGCTACCGCCGTTTCGCAGTTCGTAGAATTTCAGTGCTACATGTATTATTGCGCACCGTTCCGCCATTTTGTCTTATCAACTACTGCGTGACGACTCAAATTTAAGCATTTTTGTGCATTTTATCATAGTTTCAACTTCAACATCGAAGAAAATAAAACACGTTACGCTAACAATTTCACAAAAGTGCGATATTTCAGATAAGATTAAGAAGTCATATCGTTAACAATTTTAGCACAGCATTATAACGTTGTATAATACACTACTTTTTATATCAAAAGCAAGAAGACAAAAATACTCGAGGCTTCGAACCATTTGGAGGAGGACACCAATTTAGCGGAAAAATCATCTTTAGCGACAAGGCCCTTTTCGGATGAATGGCTGTATTAAGGTGACACTAGTCAACATTATTTCAATAGAAATTTCGGGGGGGGGGGGGGGGGGTATTTACCCGCTGTTTGACACTGTAAAAGAAGTGTCAAATTTCCAAAATAAAGTCGGTACCGAGAAAGCTCTATTATCGAAGAATTCAATAAATCTAGTTGATTTATGCAGTGGTTTTCTTTTTCATAAAACTCGATTTTTTTACGCGCGCGTTTTATTATAAATTATCATGCATCTCACTGAATAATGTTTCGCCCGGTGCGGTGCGGAAGGACGACACTGACGCACACATGCACGCGCGGTGACGCGCAATTATTCGAGTTTTATTCGACTCAGTCTGCTGCGCCTATGTCGTTCGTACGACAACAAATAAACAATTGGTAAGTCATGTAATTTGTTACACCTAATCTATTTAGTTCTTACACACGGGCGACACGCGTCAACGACAGCAGAAGCACGTTGTCGACGACGGCGCCCACCATATTAGATTGAATTGTTGGATTTTCTATTCTGGCACTTCTGGCACAGTAAAAATATCTATTAGTACTGTGCTTCAGACAGTCGGAGTACCCTATTGATAGGTATGTACTTAGTTCTATATTGTCTTAGGTACCTATATAGGTTTGCTTGTACAGCTCCGCGATCTTAGCATCTCATGTGCGTAATTTTGATTGACCAATTATACCATCTGAAGGGTCAGAAATTAGTCATAAAAGGTCAGTTGGTCTTATTAATTGGTCAGCGTTAGAATTTTTTTATAAAGGGTTAATGTTTTTCAAGGTCATTGAGAAATTTTAGCACCTCATTCGTGAAAAAAATAAAAAATTCCACCTTTGCGCGATCGAGAAGCATTCGATGATAATTTGTCAACTTGTATAAATATTTAGTCAGCTTAATTTAACATTAAAAAAAATTTGACTAAATAGACAGTATCTCACTCCGTCATTCCCACAGAACATACATATTATATAACTGGTCTTTCCGGCATGTTCTAAAAAATTGAAATTCATTAAGAGCCGTTTTAATTGATAATGTTCATTATTATATTAAAAATACCTGTCCACTCAATCGCTCAAATTGTATCAACCACAGCTGTCAATGACCCATCTTATTGTGCTTTCGCAGAGCTCAGTCGAGCAAATGTCGCTAAATTTATTATTAATTTTATTAAGACAACAAATATGGATTCGATTTATAAAGAACGAGCGAGATTAATTGTTGCCACTGTGGCGGCGCTGACGTCGCGCCACAAGCGAAACACATCGAAGCCTAAATCGCGCTTACAAAGTTCCGAAGTTAAAGCAGCATATATAGAATAGCTCCGAACTACCAATCGGAGCGTTGGCCGCTCCCCGGGCAGAACACCTTGCCCGGCGGGAGATCTCCCCTTTCCTTCCACCCGCCACAGCCACATTTCCAAAAAAAATACAGAAGGATTCAGCAGATTTGGTCAAAGTGTTTCAACGACACACCAAGTGGATTTAATAATTACAATTTTCCTGAATGTGGCAAATTTAGTAGAAACGTTCCCACTATATGAGTTAAACAACAAAAACAAATTAGTGACGAAGGGTATGTAGCCCTTGGAAAATTCCTAGGTGCTGTCCAAAGAATCAGGGAAAATCAGCGCATAGTGCCCAACATTCATGAAGGAGTTGCTCCGCGTCACTTTCACACACCCCCTTTCGAACAACGAGTCTTAGACCATTTCGATCGGAATCTAACCTGCAGCCTTAGACAAGCTGGGCGTGTGTTTAGAGTGAGGCATAAAACAATACACCGAGTGCTGAAAAGGAACAAACTACGTCCTTATAAATATGTTAAGGTGCAGGCGCTGCTGCTCCGTGACAAGCCGATTACAGAGTCTTACTGCCACTGCGTACTGGAAAAAATGTCGCAAGACCAACGTTTCCTAACAAATGTGTTTTGGACAGATGAAAGCACGTTTACTCGAAACGGCATATGGAACCGACAATCCATGCATTACTGGAGCCATACGAATCCCCATTTATTTAGGGAATCAGCTCATCAATACCGATTTCCCATTAATGTTTGGGCAGGCATTCACGGAGATCAAATAATCGGCCCTATTTTTACTGACGGAAACCTGAATGCACAGAAGTTTCTCAATATTCTTAACGGCCCAATAACAGAATATTTAGAAGGATTGTCTGTGGCAGCTTACCAGAGGGTATGGTTCCAGTTAGATGGAGCTCCTCCACACTCCATACTCCTCGCGAGGGAGCGGCTTAACACCATATTCGGCGAACAATGGATAGGGCGCTATGGCCCTCGCAGGTGGCCAGCTCGTTCGCCCGACCTCACTCCTCTAGACTTCTTTTTATGGGGCTTTAGTAAAAATGAAGTATACTCAAAGATCTCCGAAACCAAAGATGAACTGCACAATCGTATTGTTGCCGCCTTTGTCAAATTAAAAGCCCTGGCTCTGGATCCTGAACGTTTGTTGAGCAGGCTTCAGGACAACATTATGCGGCGATGTAACTTGTGCATTCAAGCACGTGGCGGACATTTTGAAAATTTTAAAATTTAGGGTTTCATTAAATTTTTTTAATAATATGCAATAATATTTATTTCGTTCAGTTCCATTTTCGCGAAATAAAAAAGTGGCGATAAAATACCTAAACAGTTTAGTGAGTAAGTTTTTATTTCGTCGCACATTGTCCAACGAACCATAGGCCGTGCCGACATTAACGCTGCCTGCCGCCAACCGTCGTGCCACCCGCGTGCAACGTTGTCACTCTTCTAAGGAGTCAAGGTACGTTGTCTAAACAGAGTGTTTACTTTTACTGAATTTATTTTAATATTTATTTTATTTGAAAATTTCACTTAAATTTAATTTTTTTACACTTCTATGGATTAGTATTACTTGTGGTTTCATTTATTGCATATATGTGGATCCCCATTCTGTATGAGGATGATAACAAAACGCCGGAAGTAATCGATTTTTATAATAAAACCAAGGGTGGTGTCGACACAAACGAAACTGTGCGAAACTTATAACGTGGCTCGGCGTACCAATAGATGGCCCATGATTATCTTTTTACATCTTTTCAATATTGCAGCTATAAACGCTTATGTTATTAATAATATGAATATTGCCAGTAGTATTACAAGAAGTGAATTTCTGAATTATGTGTCAGCAAACTAGTACAAAGTTTTAAAATCAAGAGAGCTGAAATCCCCTTTCTACCACGGCCCTTGAAAAGACAACTGCTAAATGACGCAGTACCCTTAACTTCTAGAAGCAATTCTGTGATTTCAAAGTCCGTTATCATCTATGTGTAAGGTTCAAAGATAGAAAAGAAATTCGAGAATTCAGTGGGGTAATTGTAGTAAATATATGTGTAACTCATCATCATCATCATTACAGCCTATCATAACATCATAAGTCCACTGCTGAACATAGGCCTCCCCCAAAGATGCCACGCTTGGCGAGTGGGTTGGCAACCGCAGTTTTTTTTATTGTAAGTTTGTTGTTATCAGGAAGATGCTGCTGCCCATCTCCTGCCTGTTTCCCTTTGTCGGCTTTTACGACACCCACGGGAAGATATAGTGTAGTGGATATTCTTAACCGCCACTACACGGCCTATATGTGTAACTAATTACTTAAAAATATTAAAAACCAGATTATTTACATTAAAATTGTGTCAGTGGTAAAATGATTGTAATTCCTATAGTATTCAGGATTTTTGTAGCCATAAATAATTTGTATGCTATGTATAACCGTATCAAAACATATTGATCTGAAACGTTCTATAAAACCTTTCATATACCATGTTTTATGCAAATAAAATATTATTATTATAAGGAACACCAAATCAAAGTTTGTGATACCCGTGCTAAGTTATTACTAATTTTTATTCAAGACAGTTTTAAAAGTTTATATTTTGTTATTTTCTAGAAGTTTACTATTTTTGTTAAAATAAGATGTTGTTCTTCAAGTTTATACATAAAATAAATATTGAAATTTATTGTACTTGTTTATATTTCACAATTAATTCTGGAGTTCGCATGGACCCCACGCGACTAATAGGGTAAGTATTTTGGCGCGACTAGGTAAAGGTTAACGGTGATAACGAATAGCGCAAAATAATTAAAAGTTAATAATAATAAAGGCCTTCTCCATGTCCTTCCAGACATGGTTTTTTTGTACCACTTCAAACCGGCTTTCACAGTGGACGTTCAGAAAGTTAGTTATTATTAAAAAAAATACTATGCAATGTGTCTGGTCATCGGCGTCGGAGACTTTAGGGAGGTGAACTACGGTAAATTTTCTCCAAGATGAAATGGCAGCGCCATTTTGTTGTTTTTACATTTCGTTTTCTATAATTTTAATAATTTGATACATAATGTAGCGGCGTTTCATAATCGGCACATTATTAAATTCCTGACTGACAAAAGCACCAAAAGCTTCATTTGCCATTTTGAGAATTAAGATTCGGTTGTCTGCGGCCAGGTTGCACGGACGTATTCAT